GAGAATCGGTTTGCTAGCCGACGGAGGTTCCGAGGGGCTTCTTAAGGGCTGCTCCTCCCCCGAGCCAGCATCATGCTGCTGCCTTATGATTGATCAGTCCGAGTAACTCCTCCCCCGAGCCAGCATCATGCTGCTGCCTTATGATTGATCAGTCCGAGTAATTAAAACCCTAGGTACCTGGCGCTGGCGCTAGCTGGCTGCTGTGAGGTTGTGCAAGAACCGCACGCAGCTGGGTGCTGTAGCCGGGAGTCACCGGGGGCTCCTCCCCCGAGCCAGCATCATGCTGCTGCCTTATGATTGATCAGTCCGAGTAATTAAAACCCTAGGTACCTGGCGCTGGCGCTAGCTGGCTGCTGTGAGGTTGTGCAAGAACCGCACGCAGCTGGGTGCTGTAGCCGGGAGTCACCGGGGGCGGGGGGCCACAGCCGACGCCGAGAGCCCCCCAGCGCCCCCAGTCACATACAGATCCAAGGTGCCCGGCCAGGTGTCTTGGAAACCAAGCACAGTCTGAGCTTCCCCGGACCAGATGTCACAGCTGGCCAAGGACGTGTGCCCGGCTCAGTCGGAGACGTGGATCCCTCGCTGCCCCCCGGCCGGGCAACGGCAGCTCTTTGGGGCTCCCTTTTACACCCAGGTGCACGCTAGCGGCCCCTCACTCCTGACGCAGCCGGTCGCCAGCCTCTGCTGGACCCAGCTCCCCCGTTACCCTGACGGAGGGATCACTGCCCAGCCTGCGCTCTGTGAGCCGCACTCAGCCTGGGCCGCGTTGTTCCTGTGACCTGGGAGGGTCGGTCCCGAGATGTTGCTCCGTGAGGTGCTGCATTAGGGCCCCTCTGGAACGTGCTCACGGCCCAGGCCCGGGCCCACGTAGGTCTGAGCGTTCCTGCCATCTCGGCCCTGCTCCTGCCGGCGTCCAGGAGCGGGGCCTGCCCCTCGCTCACGGCTTCCCTCCGCTTTAGTCTTGCCCAATGCACCCTTGGCCTGCCCGGCCTGCGCTACGGGGGCATCTGCCCCCTCTGATTACACTGGGCTGTTGTGCAGCGAACCCCCCGTGCGGCTAGCTCAGTGGTGTGTCCAGCTGCCCACGTGCATTACGCACATGGGTGTGCAAGGTTTTTTGCACGGGCAAACGCATCTCCCCCTTCCTTGGCTCTGGCCCTGAGTCTCTCTCACACTCGAGTGCTGGGCCCGGGCCAGGTTCCTTCCCCCTGCTGCGCAGCGTGTTCCAGGCCCTGCGTGGCCCTTTGCTGGTGCTCTGCACAGATTCCTCATTAAAAATGAAAAAACAAGCTGCAGCCCTGAGTCTCTCTCACACTCGAGTGCTGGGCCCGGGCCAGGTTCCTTCCCCCTGCTGCGCAGCGTGTTCCAGGCCCTGCGTGGCCCTTTGCTGGTGCTCTGCACAGATTCCTCATTAAAAATGAAAAAACAAGCCGCCGCCAGATTGCCGCTTGCAAAAGCCTCGTCTCCCCGGCGTGAGTCAGACCCGCCGCCTGCGGGAAGCAGCCTGCTGGGCCGTGCTCCGCGGCGGGGTACAAGGCGAGAGCCGCGTGGGGCCCGGGAGCGAGGCCCGTCCTGGGGGGAGACATCATGTCCCCTCGCAGCAGGGCGCGGCTGGAAGGGGGAGGGCAGAGCAAAGCGCCGGCGGG